TGTCGGAATAGAATGATTCCCATTTTTAAAGGAGGTCAAGAATAACTTAGTGGAAAAACCGTGAAACTGTCGGTCTGCTTTCTTTTTTACATGTTGAAAGAAATGATTGAGGTTGGAAACAAAATGTTACGATGTGGATGCATGCAGTATAGAATAGTTTTGGGTTTGGTTCGTTTTCTTTTTTGGTTTTTTTTTTTTTTGCAAGGCACAGGAAAACGCTGTAGTTCTGTTTTAAGGGGGGTTTTAGTACGTTTTGGGAATCTGTTGAAAAAAATAAAATGCCGTGAACTTATGGCTTTTCTTGAGTTAAACTCTTGAGAGGGAGCATGTTCATTTCCATTCCAACCACAGAGGCAGTTAGTTGTTACTTTTTGCATTGAAAGTCTGAGGTTTTAAACTCAGCGATAATTACTTAAAGCGAATCCAAACTAGAAGAGGTTCCGATGAAAGCCTCTTCTTTTCCGTTTGCTGTATTGGATCAGCAGGTACATATCTTAGTATCTGTGGAAATCACAGCCATATACTAAATCGGGGAAGTAAACATATAATTTTGTGTCAGCAGTGAGAAAGTTAGATGCACGCTAGGCCACCTATACTCTACAGTAGTCCCCAGTGCTGTAAACAGTTATCATTTCAAATCTGTAAGCTCCTCATTATTTTCTTTGTGAATTCTGGAAATGCGTTACTTTTATTTGTTGTTGTTTAAGTCATTGTTTCAGCAAAACTACCTAGTTGACTAAGTAATGCTTCGAAAGGTGCCACTTGTTAAGTATATTCGTAACAAAGAAACACTGGAGTAAAACCATAGTCATCTTTTAGACATTCCAAAGACAGAAGTTCTTTTGTTATTTTTACCTAGTTCTTTTGAATTTTATTTATATGTTACATATATATAGGTATATATATGTGTGCTTGTATGTATATATATATTTAAAGTTATATGAGCCTCTGTGTGGCTGATCAGTATATTTTGTAAATACTAATCCCAGTTGCAGGAAGTTAATCTTTTTGGTTTGCCGCAAGTACTTCTTGATCAGTGGTGGATTTGTTGTACTATAATACAGAGCTGGGTTTTAATTTACCTTCTGAATGATAATTGGTCTCAGATCCAAAAAGCCCTTTTCTGTAAATATTGTCTATACTTTGTCTATGATACAAACTAGTTATTTCAGATTGCTGAAGCAAGAAATCACTGTTGGTTTTGATAGGGCATCTCTTAATTCTTTTGTTAACTCTTTGGCATATGTATATAAGTAATATAGTTGGTGACATGAAAATAACACTTTTGTTATGTGGAATATTTAATTCAAAAACATGTTAAATAATATTACTTTTTTCCAAATTCTGTTTCGTGTATTTTTTATGCATTTGATTCTGGATTTTAGGAAATTCTAAAAACTCCATTTACCAGAAGTGCGTGTCTCGGCATTATATGTAAAGAATGCACGTGAAGTTCTTCCAGCAGCGCCTTTTCTTCCAGACAGCCTATTAGTGTTTCAGCAGTTTAAGACACACATTCTATTTTACAGCTGTCCGAAGGGATACTGGCCCCATGGCACAGTGCCCAGTTTATCTGTAATAATACAGTAAAATGTGCTGTGTTGCATGTACCATGTATAAAACCATTTCCCTGTTCTTTCAGAGAATTCTGTATAAGTGCACAGAAAAGTTTGTGGGAGTTGGTTTGCTGCATAGGGGATGACACTTTCCAGAGGTTGCCAAATCCAGTTTGACAGAGGATGATTTACAGCTGGTCGCATCCAGATGCAAATCCATCCTTAGTAATGGGAACGTGATTCCTGAATGCTTGCAAGCATTCAGTCTGCTCTAGGTGCGATTGCTTTGCCAGCACATAAAAACTGGTAGTGGTTGGTACTTGGTGAGCGTGTGCTATAGAAGCAGTTCTTCTGAGTAAAAAGATGCTGGTTTTAAATGGTCACTTGTCAGTGTTACGTCTTGATTAGAGGCAATGAGTGCGTGTTGTAGCTCTTGGAAGCGTTAAACAAGCAGCACGAGTTACGGAGTCAGCTGACATTTTTCTTGAATTCAGTTTGCTACTGCTCCAGCACGTGGAACCCTGTCAGTTACGGTAAATAGACTTTCAAAAAACTTTTTTGTAACGTGGTATTTGATTTGCTTCCCTGCATTCTCCTCCCTCATGAACTTCAAGGATTCACTCTCGAGTATCCTGATGTAGGGGGTTTCCTAGCCCAGATTCCTCGATGAGATGAGTCAGAGGTTTTCAAAGCAGTGTATCTGTTGATGTTCAGTACAGATACAGACACTGTGAGCGGTATGTTGGCATTTTCAAAGGCAGTGTTGAAATAGATGCATGTTTTTAGGAAGGAGAAAGAGCTCTTGTTCTAAGAACTGTTTGAAGAGCCACGTTGTATAGTGGGCAAGTGAGTAGTGCTTAGGAATGCCTCCCTTCTTTCTGGTTTGATGCAGCAGTAGCCTACACTAATCTCAGGCTTTTTGGCATGTGTCTGCTGAAGTATTTCTTTTGGTTATGTCCATTCCTTCAGTACAAGAAATGACATGCTCCTAGTACTGGTGGTGCATTCTTGTTTCAGGAAAAACCCTTTGCTTACAAATCAAATTGCCATTTAAACTGCTGTCTGTCAGCAAAACTGCTAATGGTTGAGTAAAAGAATAAATTTCAGTCTAAGTTGTAATCTCCTTCAAGAGACTTGTGTTGGTAAAATACCGCTTTAAAGTATGGTACCTTTTGTTCTATAGGAAGTAAATCCAAAAAAGCCACTTCCAGCCTCTGGAAAAGGCGGCTAGGGGAAAGCAGAGCCATGAAGGCAAGGAAGAAGCTTTGGATAAGTTCTGTAGCTCTACAGTGCGGTATTCTGAAAGATGTATTTCTCACTTTTATTTACCTTAAATATGTTTTCCCCCTTTTTAAAGGCTGCTTTAAGAAACAACTTGACCTTCACGTACCCTGCTCAAAGTAGATACTTGTTTATGAAGGGTGGGATTTCAGTGCCTGTACAATGGCATTTTATGCCTTGCAATATCCCCTTGGCCTTTAGCTGCCACTCCACAAAGGCACTGGCCTCACGTGAATCCTGTGTCATATGGTCAGCCTTGTGGGTCACGCTAAGTCACCAGCAATGGTCACTGGAAGCCTGTGTGCAGGCAACTGGGTCCTGGGTTCCAAAGTGTCGTTTTCTAGTATCTGAGCATTGTTCATAAATTGGGGGGAAAAAGCACAGAAATTTACGTGTAAGATCATCTCTGTTGTAAAAGACAAAACTGGTCCAAGTTTCATTTCAAGTTGATTACTTTATTTCAATAATGAATGTTTTTAAAAGCTGTGTTCCTATAAGAACAATACATAATCAAATTAAATCAACTATTACATTGCAGAGTATACATCTGAATGAAGCTACAATAGAAAAATACACATAGCAACCAATGTAGGTGATAGAAGATGTAATACGTGTGTGTATGCTTAATCCTTTTGGTGATTTTGTTTTCTTTAGTCTCTATGTATTTTCTACCCTCTCATCTTTCGTTGCTTCATATTAATGGACACTGATTTAAACCTACAATAGATTTAGATGTGAAATGCAATTAACATACATATTTATAGGTAACATTTACTGGGCACTTAATTAGGAATGCAGTTTCAACCTGGGAAGCATTAACTGTAGTCTACAGTGCGTAGGCTAAAACTAAAAAAAATAAAATAATTAATCAGACACTTAGGTGACAGCTTGAAGAAATGGTAAGTTTAAGTAATAAAACAGTGCAATTCAGAAGAGCCTTTTATTTCCCTAAGTGTGGTTGGAAATACCATTGCCACACATTTGTTTTAGTAATTTGTGAACAATTAATATCTAAATCTAACTCAGCTATAATTTATTTCTATGAGGCAACTACAGTACAACAGTTAAATGTTCACAGTAGTTTACTATGAGTCTGCTTTGGTGCACTGCCTTCAATAGGCATCCCGATGTTACTCAGGCAAAAAATGAGCCGACCGAACGTAACACTGCTGCAATACCAAGAGAAAGATTTGGAATTCTAACGCGAGATGTGCAGGTCTATCTGAGATACCAGTACTGAAGGGCTCTCTTTCAGAAATTAGACTTATTTGTTTATATATTTATTTACTTACTTGCTGTACTGCAAAGTTAATGCTGTTGCAGCAGAGTTTGCATGGAGCACCAGTGACGTCCAGTGGTCACTTGTGCAATCTTAGATGTTTCTTCTCCGGGAATATCCCTTGTTTCTTAACTTTAGTCTAACTCAAATTTGAAATCCTCTTTCTCTCCCTCATCTGCTCTTAATTCTAGTGGTTTGGATGCGATGAGCAATTCATGGTGTGGAAGGAATTTCCTTATTACTGTTGCTCCGCATCGTATTGATTCTACAACATCTGCCCCCTCCCACACTTCACATACCTTGAACTCCCAATGTTTGGAAAACCTTTCTGTGACTGCCTAATCCTGTTATGAAAATAAATTATTCTGTGAGTGAGAGAAGGAAGATTAAAACAAAACAAATAAACAACAAAAAAAAGCCAAATCAAAAAAAGTGTGTGGATAAACAGTCCTTACAACTTCTGCACATGGTGGATTTTTTGGTGTTTTGTTTTTTTTTTTTTTACCAGCAGTGTCTCAGAAATTCATTAACAGCAGTGCTCAGTATCCAAGGCATTAGCTCTTTATTTGTAATTCTGATGTTCACTAAAACGAAACCATAAGACTTGAGCTCAGATTAGGTGCTTGGGAGAAATAATGAAGTCCAGCATACAGTTAGGGCATCCTGAAGAAGAATGAGTAAAGTCAGAGATCCTGTTACTTTACATAAAATAAGGAAAACAGCTAGTAAAGCTACTTTTTGTGTTCCTTTCATTCAACTGTTGGTCAGGGATTGCCAATAGAAGTTTGTATAATCTACTGCATGCAGAACCTAATTGGCATTAAGTAATGGATTGCATCTATCTAGGTAATTTTGCAGTTGTTATTCATTTTAAGGCAGTTACATTATGAAGCAGAGTACGTGATCCTTGGATGGCATCTCAGAGCTTCAGCGCCTAGCAACTGGTGAACCAGACCGCGATCCAGGTCGGGACCCAGAGCCTCCCTGTGAGGGGAAGAACAGAGTGAAGTTAGTGAAAAGGTCCCGTATGTTTGGGGCTATACATTGAAAAACATCAATCTGTAGTAGAACAAAATTTTAAATATTATCTAATGAAAATGGCTCCAGTGGCCTCTGGTATATTGCTGAACGTTATTGGAATTTTCACTTCAAAGCGATGATCGGTTTTCATCTATTTCCACATAGGATTAATTTACTCCCATTAAATCTCTCATGCAGGGCTAGACAGTGTCTCATGAATTATTTGTAGGAGCATGTTCTTATTCAGGCCTCACTAATGACAGCAATTTATTTACTCGGGCATCTTTAGAAATTTTAATTTTTATGGCTAGCTCTAAACTGTATGTATACTTAAAAAAACAACAAACAAACAGACAAACAAACAAAAAAAAAGCTAAACCAAAACAAAAAAAAAGGCAAAAAAGCCCCAAACACCGAAACCAAAAACTGAAAATCTTTCAAACAAGTTGTAACAATCTCACTTCTGAAACAATTGAAATATAATAATTTTATTCTGTAAAATTTATTAGGGTAAATTGTTAATGTGATTATATCAACATCAGTCTTGTCTGGAAAGCTCAGATGCAATTACAGGATAAAAATAAGAAAAGATAGAGGGCTGAAACCTGACCTGTTTTTACAAATAATATGAAAACATCAAACTAGGGAGGAAAAAAAAAAACCAACCCCAACTTGTGACAATTCATAAATCTGTGATTGACAAAAAAACCTTACAGCAGTTTTATAGCAAAGGTGATCCAAACTGAAATTTTGGCGTTTTGTTTTTGGAACTTACAATTCGGCTAACTGGGTGTCATTTCCCATAGCTTTCAGCAACTTTCTAGGCAAATCTTGAAGGACACACTTACAACCACAAATGTGAGATAGCATGGTAATTGTTACTGTAATCAGTTGATGACTGAACTGTTTACTTCAAAAAAATTAAGTATATGTGTACTTCAGGATTTTGTTTTCTGTGTTTATATTCTTCTCGCCTTTAAGTGAGAAGTTTCCCTCTCTAGTTTTACTGAACTCTTTCAAGGAAAATTTAGTGTAATCCATTGGGTAAATGGCTTTTTTTTCTTTCCAAGTTATTTTAAAGAATGGATAACTTTTTTTTTTTTAAAGGCTGTAAAACTATATAAGAAAATCGTTTTTAATGCCTCCTGCTATAAACAATGGGTCTAAATTAAATGGGCCTGGGTAAAACTCTGCTACAAGTTCCAAAAGTTATAATGGCTCGGAAGAGGCTATCTGAAAGCTAGAACTGGTATATGTATGTTGTCAGATATATGTATAAATCCAAGCTAACATAGTTGTGATGGTTATGTGAAAAAGAGAAGGTTAAATTTTGGGAGAGATTATTACCGGATATTTGCAGATGTTCAAGGGAAATGTTACAAACAATGTCAGTATATAGCTACGGTGTTATTGATGTATCTGAACTCCACTAAAAAGCTACGAGTGCACAGTGTGAAAATTAGATTTAAAAGGTAAATGTTTGATTTTTACCTGGGCCTCTGAAGACCTCATCCCTTTTCTTAATCTGCAACATAAGAATTCCTGCTACCTCCCTGGAGTTTGCAAGCTGTCTCTTGGTGCTGCATATGTTTGAAAAACAGCTCTATAATGAAAGGTACGAACCCTAAACCATGTAAGAGAGAAAAATGTATTTCTGCTGCAGGTGATGGTGCTGTTAATGTCTCCATTTGGAGAGCAAGAGTAGCAAGAGTCTGAGCTGATCAGCTCTGCTAATGGGGTCTCAGACCTTCTCTCCTGAAGTTAAGATTACTGCTGATTACATTCTTCGTGTGCGAATAATATACAAGATGATTTGTCACTTGTGAATGCTTCGCTGTCTTTGAGGAGAAATACAGCCTTAGTTAAAGTAGCTGCCAGTGGATCTGATGTGCTTTTCACGTGTCCTTTTCCTGGTGCCAAATGTGAAAAACCCTCACGACTGACTTTTTTTTTTTTTTTTTTTTTCCTGTTTGTTTGACTTTATTAGCTGTGTTGGTGGGGCTGTGCGGTGACTCGGAATGGTGAACTGAACCAGACTAAAGATAATCTGACCAAATGTTTATTTTTCATATGACAGAGTTTTCTAATTTGCCCGACTGTGTGGTGCCACAGCTCGCTGTACCGACAGACTGTAGGGGGTCTCCCCCCTGGGCTGGGAACAAGCAGGGACTGTTGAGTTGCATCTCGACCCAGTACGTGTCCGACACTGCCCTGTGCTGCTGTTCTGCAGTTTATCAGTTTGCTTTCACTACCGTAAACAATTTAGCAGCAGCAGCAGCAAGCGGTGCCACCTTGTTCATCTTCTGTGTTCCATGTCGTTTGCGAGTTCAGTAACGACACGGATCCTTGCACACGGGTCTTTGTGGGAATTTGTGGACTTACCTTCTTTCCTGGTGGCAACTGACTGTGTATTTTTACCTTTGTTTCCTATCATGTAAGTAGTTTATTAGGCCATGAGATAACCTTCTGGTTTATCCATGCAAATCTAGTTCTTTCAGAAGCTTTAAGGCAATGTGGTTGTTTCAAACAAGGCAGGTTCTGGAGAGGTTTGGCTTCTCTCTTTTTTTTTTTTTTTTTCCTGGACTCAATTTTTTTGTACTTAAAGTAAGTTCAATTGTACTTTACAAGTTTAAAGAAAGAGTGCCCTGGCCCTCATGATAGGATCCCTTATGTCCCTTGTGAGCAGATTTATGCTCATAGAATTTTCCGCTTCCTCCATATCCTGGCTTGTGTCCTTCACCACCCTGCAAAGAAAGATTTTCATATGTATTGCAAATCATTGCATTCAAATTATCATGTGCACATTGCAGTCTTTGGTGATCACTGAAATGTAAAATACTCAATTGAAGAATTTATAGGTGTTGGAATAAAATAATCTTTTACGTAGTAAACAAGGATGGAGGAAAATGTTAGGAAATTATCTGAATATACCCACATCTGAGGGAAGCACCAAGCTGTAAAAGAGGAATTGATAGTAAAAAAAAGGATACTCAGAAGGATAACCTGCGTGACAAAACCTAAAATGTTTCCATTTCAGTTCTAAGATGTCAAACACGTCAACTAATTTGTGTTCTTCTGACAGTGAGAGAAATGCTTAATGGCTTGAAGGCTTTAATATTTTATCTTAAAATGCAAGTAATTTACATGTCCATCTCATATAAAATCAAACCTGTGGTAGAGAAGGAGAATTTAATTAGTTGTGGGATAACTGTGGGAAGAACTTGTCTAGCGACTGTTCAGGCAGATCACTTCTTACTGAACGGGGTTGCAGGGAAGGGTGGGACAAAATACTTGAATTAGCGGCAGTGTTAGTTTTGCAGACTTTACTGTGTAAGAGCAATTGGAACTGTGGAACAAGCACCCATCTCGTCCCAGCCCTCCCACCCATTTTTGACCTTCCCAGGAAAAGAAAAATGCAGCGGATCACTCTTCCAGGAGTCTTTAAGGGAAGAGAGCTTTGCCATGCATTGAATTTTGCTCCCTTCATGCTAAAGCAAAAGAAATTATCACTGCAAGGCTGGCAAGTTGCTGGGTAAGAGCAAGCAACAGAAGTACCATCTTAAAGTGCTGTGGGAGGAGGGAGGAAAGTGGAACAGGAAAAGCAAACTAGCGAAATTGAGACAAAATTATCACATTGCTGCAGCAGCTTGAGGCAATGGAGCAAGATGTGCTTTGGCCTGGTAAATAAAATGGCTGTTACTGAAAGCGCATTCATCACCTACCCAGCTAAATCTGGTGAGGGATAATCCTCTTCCCTGTACATGCAAGAAATAGAAACAGTGACATGACGATCACTACGCAACATCGCATTTGGGTGTACCATACATAGAAGATGAAAATGCAGTAAAAATCATGAAATACGGGCCGAATAATGAGGCAGGAGTGGAAAACACCAGTCTGTGTACAGTCATTCCATGAAACAGAACAGGCAAAATTCTTTATTATAATTACAAGAACTGACTTCAGTAGCCATGGTTTGTCAGTATTATGTACTTTAGAAGCCAGCTGATCTTAGTAAATGTAAGGACGGTTCCTGGTGGGTGAGGCTTGTTTGAAAGCATTGCCTATTATTAGTTTATTGCATAAAGCAATCACGGCATAAATTGAATCTAAAAGTCCCTGCGAGTGGCTTTAATTTGTCACACAGCAAGTCAGGAAGTGCATGAGGAAGAGAACCATGGCTTTTCTGTTGTAGTCCCTTGCTTTAAATATTCCCAACGGTAACTGCAGATTTTTGCTTAGTGCCATTAAAGAAAATGAATCGGGGTAGCAGTTGAATTGTTATACATTAGCCCACGACAGATCTTGGACGTTGCTTGAACCCCTGAAAACGCTTACCTTTGCTTGCATTGGGGGAGGTGTACGGGGTGAGACCTAAAAACCAACACAAAAAAGTTGTAAAACAAGGCAAAAATAAACGTAGGGAATCATCAAGCCTTTTGCATATTATCTAAGAGTTAGTAGGATTAAGTGCTATCTGAGTGATTGCACTGAGAAGCTCCTCTGCTCTCTTAGGCTTTGCCTAAAACACACCGGATTTTGTATTTCTCTTTAAACAGAAAACATTCCTTACTACAGCCAGTGCTGAAGACACAAGGACAAAACCTGTAAGTGGTGAAGCTGTATAATTGTAATGGTGGCTGTCAAAATTTGACTGTGCTGAGGGCGGGTTTGCCCACGTTTTTTGTAGCATTTCAGTATTGTTTGTGTTTCCAGGTAAAAATTATTCTTGTATCGAATGGCATGATGATCTCAGAGGCACAGTACAACTCACGAGGGTCAAAATGACGGCTAATGATGGGGGAGTATTTGGTTACTGATGGATCCTATAGAAAATACTTCATTTTAAGGCATAACGAGAAGAGAGGAGACTTACAATGTTCTTGAAGAAGTGGACTACGGGGTTGTCGTCACCAGGCCGGCCATGCTGAGATCTCTGGGGGATGGACCCTACGTGGTGGCTGGCCCTGGCTGCGTGTATATCCTGAAAAGCAGAACAGGCATATTGCCGAGTCAGCTAGGGAGGAAAGGTAATCGGCGACTGCAGGAAGGGAAGAGTCATTGTCACCAGGAATGAAAAGCGGAGGGAAAATGCCTTGGGAATCGACAGAGATTACAATGTAAAGTTGTCAGTGCTGTGAAGGAACAATTTTTTTAATACAATAGCAAATATGGAGTATGTATATGAACATGTGCTGTGCGCATATCTATACCACACACACAGGTGTACACGTTTTCAATGTTACAGCCCAGTGTGGAATCAAACCTCTTACTGGAAAGTTCTGGTAACAGAAACCTTGTAATTTTCCTTCTTTCATAAGTAGGATCATAGAATGTAATTTTAGAAATGAAACCTGAAATGGTGAAAAACTTAAAATGGTGTTGGGTCATTCTCCCTGCAAGAGCAGGAA